TTGAACTTTTTAGCTTTAAATGGTAATATCTGTAATTAGAATCAATTACTACTACTCCAATAACTATAGTAGTCCTACGAGTAGAAGCAGTCGATAAAAATCACACTTGAAATTAGCGGAAGCGTAAAAATATCAATACCAGAAATCATACTAATATGACTTAGGGTCCTTCAAGTAGCGAGTGTTTTATTTCCTCAAAGGCCGGCAACGCATCTGTAGTTCCTCTGGTGTTGCGGATGTCCATGGGCGTCGTTGACCACCTTGGTGTTCACGCCGCTTGTTTGCCCCCTTTTATTATATTGTAAATGCGAAAGTTTAGATGGATGGATAGATGTTGTTTGTAGCCTAAAGTACGGTTTTCAATATTTGGTATGGATGTAGAGGACAGTCTAGAAAAACTCACTACTCACTTTTGTTTTTTTCAGACGGAGTCGCAGCCGAAAGCTGGTCAAAAATACATAAACTATACGAGATGGGATAAAATATCAAATCGTGTGTTTTTTTGGAAATACACGCAAAAACATATTGTTTTCTCTCTTTTTTTCAATTTTAAAGACACGACAATATTCTTTTCTACAAAAAAAAAATAAAAAAAGACATACAGACGAATTGAGTACCTCCTTCTTTTGGGAAGTCGGTCAAAAAGTTTAGACTATGGAACTTTACTAGAAATTCGACACAAAACGTAATTTAATGATTTCTTTCTTTCATTGGTGTAAGTTTTAATTTTAAAAAATGTTCAAATATTTCCTTAACATGTTGTAGTATCATATTTTTACCCACAGTGGAGAGCGTTGTTAAATCTAAACTAAGCTCTATTTATAGACTTTGTAAACGCAAGCGATGAAATGTTGATTAGTAACGATTAACTCGAACCGATAACGAGTAATCGTAATAACATTACTAATGTTAAAAAAGATCAAAAAAATACGTACATCTCACAGTTTTTCTTTATTTAAATGATGTATTGACAGACTTAAGAATGAATAATAAATTTTTATAATCAAAAAGGTTTTTTAGATCATAAAAACTAACATTTTAAAAATATTAATTACTAGGTTTCGCCCTCGACTTCGCCCGCGTCTATTAAAAAAACTAAGTAGCCTATGTGTTCTTCCAAACTATCCTCTAAATCAATGCCAAATTTCATTGAGATCCGTTCAATAGTTTAGGCTACAAACTCTTACAAACATCCATCCATCCATCTAAACTTTCACATTTATAACATTATTATGAATTATGAAGTATGATTATGGTTTTAATATTTCATTTTATTTTTAAGTTTTAAAAATGGTCCTTCTAGTCGAATATAGTTCAAGAGTCTTTGTTTGATTTAAAAATAAACTTGTTTAATTTCTTGTTAAAACTTACACGATACATGTCAGTAGACCTGTTACTTTATTGAGAAAAAAGAAGAAAAAAAAACCTAGCACTCTTTTGTGTATACCCGCAAATATAAGACGTTGAAAAATGCATCTCACAACCATTGTGTAGATCTCTAGATGGAGGTAGACAAAGAAAACAATGCTAACGTTCTAACTGCGGATGTTAGTGGAGGAGTCAAGGAGTTCACGGATCATATCATGGAGGTACATAGCGCAATTTCTTACATCAACCTAGTCCTGTTTTCAATTTAATGATCTTTTAATAAAACGTCTATAATACAGAAACATGGGAAAGCCCGCAGAATAAGGTATTGATTAAAATTTTATGTTACTAACTGTTCCCATGCGACTTCATCCGCATAAAATTATGAAAATTTTATTTTATGTTGGCAGCAACTTATGGTCTCTTTCCCACATTAGGGTTTTTATCCAAAATATTTACCACCTAAATTTAATTGCGTTAAAATACATGGCTTAAAGCAGGACGTAAGTGTAGGGCTTTTTATTAAAAAAAGAATTATTCAAAAATATGCTGTAATTGCTGACATCTTAGGCAACAAAGAAGTGTGTGTTTACGCTTTATTATAATAGTATAGATATAGAAGTATGGAAGTATAGGAGTATAGATAGATAACATTTGGCATATAATTCGTTCAAGTTTTGTTAGACACGACCAAATACTGAAACGACATTTAAAAATGTAACAGCGTATTAAATGAAAATACACGTTTAAACTCTAAATTCTATTAAAATTATGAAGTTTTGCAGATCGTAAGGGACACAAAATGTTTGAGATTCGTTTCAGAACTTTGTTTGATTTCTTAAGACGTATATTGTTTTTTTTTTTACATTACAAGAGAGAAGTAGAAAAAAAGTTTATAGATTCAAACCTTTTTAAGACTATGATAATGTAAGAATTCCTGCCTCTACAGAAAGCTCTTTCTAAAGTCGACAACAAAACTGCTTGTAATTATCTCATTATCAAATAGGATGGGATAAAGAATGGTTTTCATCGCGACTAGTTCAGTGTCGATTTTAAATTTATCGATAACTTGTTGATAAAATATACGTACAATTTAAAACGTATTTTGACCACACATTTCTTATTAAATGTTATAGAAAAATAACCTTGTTTAATGAAGCTAATGGACAGCAATGTTATTTTTCGATATATCGATGTTAAAAGATTACACAAATATTGATTACGGATCATCGATATGCGGATTTGAAAATTATTGGTACAAATGTCTTATTCACATTGAAAAATCAGAAACAAAATAATGCTTCAGTGCAAATATTTCGGCAGTGAAAAATATCTATAATGTACTTAAGTAGATTATTGTTTAAAAACTATCGATAAAATTCGTAATACTTGTCACATCCCTAGTCGAGACTACCTGAGAACTACCATTTCCTCGGGTAAAATTATAAGACGGGCGACTCCGCGAAAAAAGAGGGATAATTAAAACAGTTCTAATTAAGATTTGGTTTAATGGCCTCCGAGATATCGTATTCTTTTTCTTAATTATTCCACTGATCGTTAGTAAGGAATGGAAGATTAAATATTCCTCTATCTATCTATACATATAATAAAATTGGAGTGTCTGTAATATCAAAAGAAAAATTCCCGATTTCAGGAAGATGATATATTTGCATCGCCGAAAACGAAAATTGCATTTAAAAAAATGTTGTCGGTTTGTCTGTCTGCAAGCCGCGCACGCCGAAGGGTGGCTGACATAGACGGGCATATTTAAGGCTACTTTTTACCTTAATATTGCGTGGACAAAGTCGCGGACAACAGCTAGTCTTAAATAAAATCATCAAGAGAAAAGTAAAAAGTAATATTAAAACCAAAAGAGTTGGAGTATTTTTTCTATTTAAGTATTTATTTTGAGTTACAAGGGAAAAGTAGACTCTAAATTTAAATTTATATTTGCATAACGTAACTTAAATATCTTGATATGTTAAATGTTACTGTAAGAGCCTGTGAACACCTGAAACAAAACTATAACTGTTTCTTAATTCCTATGTGCTTATATGGAGGACACGACTCGATTTTTATTCGGGCAACTAAACAGTTGAATGCGAAACAATCGACAATCGCACAACGGTTGTGCGATAATTTAATCAAACGTGCCCGATCTTAAAACAATCACTGTTATTACATCGTCATACCTACCAGTAGCATAACATTAAACATTTTACAACGAAAGTGTCATATTCAGGCGCGGTACACACTTGCCCAGGACAGTTGGCACAGTGTGAATGTCCATCTACCATATAGTCCATACAATCTATGGCCGTCGTAATTATACTGTACTGGCGAAGTGTAAACCGCGCATTACAACGTAACCCGACTCTCCGATAAACAGATGACCAAATGTGACTCATTGTTATCACTAAGCGTGTTTCCACTGACGAAACATGTACAAAAACATATTGTTTTTTTTTTCAAAAAAGATGAAATAAACAATATTATTTTGTATTTTGGCATTAGAATACAAATTGTCTTATAGAGAACGTATATTTAAGTAAACTAGCTTTTTCTAGTGAATTACACAAATATCTAGTAATAATTATAGCCTATGCTACTGAGTGATAATCTAGCTTTCTATTGGCTAAAGATTCTTTTATATCAACATTGTAGTTTTTGAGTTTATTCATTACATACGAAAATGCAAAACTTTCCTCTTTTACTAGCTGATGCTCACAACTTTGTCCACATGAAATTTAAAAAAAAAGTTTTTTTTTAATTTTTTTTTAATTTCATTTTTTTCAGTAGATTTTGAGTTATCTGAATACTTACAAAAATACAAATTGTTCCTCTTTAGAATGTTAATATAGACTAATATGTGAATATGTATGTAATAAAGAGGTACAAATAGAAAGCATTATTCTCTGCCATCCCCTTTAAGTAACAAGTGTAATCATATGCAAAGGTAACTTATTACACTTAACAAATTAGACATCAGTATGTCTCTTAAGTTGACGGCTTAGCTATGCTTTTAGTTTTTACACAAGATAGTGACATAAATTGTGAAACAAAATTGTTAGTATGCGGAAACATGTCACAGAAATTACAGAAATATATGTAGAATTAAAAAATTGAACATCTGAGAGTATTTGTGTAAATTCAGATATGTCAATAGAAATGTGTGAAAAATAGTTTAAAGTAATATTGTGCTGATTATAAAAGCAAGATTATGAATAACTAGCTTTTGCCCGCGACTCTGTCTGCGTGGAACAAAAAAACAAAAGTAAGTAGCCTATGTGTTCTTCCAGACTGCCCTCTACATCTATACCTAATTTCACCTAAATCCGTTCAGCAGTTTAGGCTACAAACTCTAACAAACATCCATCCATCCATCCATCTAAACTTTCGCATTTATAATATTAGTATGAAGTATAATTATGATTAAGAACAATATAGATCTATTCTTATTTGGCTCATTAATTTTATACTGAGACAAAATTCTGCTACTTCATCTACTCAGGATTAAAAATTTTGTAAATAGCCTATGTTCTTCCAGAATATATCCTATGATTATGCCAAGTTACAGAGAAATCCATTAAGACAATATGGAGTATCATAGTAACATACATCCATCCAAACTTTCACATGTATAATCCATAATATTAAAAAAAACTAATGGATGGATTTTAGAATGTCCTGGACTCAACATATCTCGAATAATTATCACAAATGTAGAATATAGTCTGGAAGAACACATAGGCTACTATAAAGTTTTTTTTTTATTAATAACGTGCAGACGGAGTCGCTAGCAAAAGTTAGTAAGTCATAGAAGTTTATCAAAAGTGAACACACCGCTTTTTAAAACAATGCAACCGGTGTAAAGAGAAAAAATAGTCTTACAACCAAATGATAGTTCATTTGTTTTCAAACTAACGGAAGTTTTAAAAACATTTCAATGGATGTTAGAAGAATATTTTATTAACAAAACGTTACACAAAAATTCCAAAGAAGGGCCCCGATATAATCTAAACAGAGTCACATTGTTTAATACGGCGCAACGACCAGAAAACATCAAAAGACATTAGTTTATATTCATCCTGCGCGTCGGATCAAAGGACCGCTTCCAAGTAAACGTGCAACGAATTACATATCCTAACAAAATCCCATTAATATCAGCCCCGAATGACCGTAAAAACCTATAAATAGCACCGCAAAGGGCTCTAAGGATGCGACTTACCGGATAGCAGCAGCGAAACGAACAAAACCAAGCGAAAAACACACATTTTTCCCAATAACAAACACTAATTGTTCACTACGAGTACTAAAATTCGTATTTAGAATAATTTTCGTCCATTTTTAATTTAGAATACCTTCGGAAGCATGTTTTTGTTTTTTTTTTCAAAGGAAGAACGCGTTGTAAACAAGTCAAAAGCGACCACACGATCGACAGAAGGAACGACTGACGAACTCGACTGGAGCTTTTGAACAACCGCTTTCATCTACGGCACACAAACGTAGAATGCGGTTCACAGACGAACGCACACAAATGTTTATTTGAACACAGACAGCGGCTATCTTCACACCACATTTGACAGTTCATTCACATCGTTTGAGTTAGTTCTTGTTTCAACTATTTTGTTTTTTTTTTTACATTAAAAACGTAAAAATAAGCAAACGATACTTTATGAATTATATGGATTTTTAGTTAGATGTAATTTTTTCCGGTGTAAAACTTGGATTTTGGCAGTCCCTTTTGTCAACATGGTAGGTGATTTCTTGTTTTGAACATAGATGGCACTAGTAGACTATTTTTAAAAACTTTTTGTTTAAAATCCCAATAAGGTAGTAAGTAGTAGTAGTAGGTAAGTAGTTTTGACTAAAAATCATTTTCATTTTACATGTCATATCAACCGGTCCCGAAAAAAACTATTTGGATGTAGTGAATTTTGCTTCAGTTTTCATCTTTGCACCCATAGTATAGCAAAAGATCTTTTATTTAGATTATTGATTTTTGGACTCTAGTATTGATAATGTCCTAAAAATCATCTTTAGATTAAGGACCTTATACATATGGGATATTTAAAATAAAATTACACTCTACATTGGCATGTTGAGTATACTCATAGCACTATTTTATTGCACACATAAAATACATGAATTATATATCCTTTTCAACATGAAAAAAAAGATTATGGTGGGTAACAAAAAGCCATAAAAAATAAGTATTAAACATTCTTTTTATTGCTAAAATGGTGTTTAGCAAATGTCTGAGCAACAAGTAACGGGAACACCAATGTTGCATCCGCATACAGCTTCACTGGGGTCGCATTAACCCGTATTTTCCCCCACGAGACTGCTTCATCCGGCCTGGCACCTGCATCACTGCCATCAAATTCGCTAGATGTGTTAACATATACAGAAAAATCAGCTCCATTCCTCATTAAGTTAGCATTACAAATGTGATGTTTGATAACTCCTCCGCCCAAAATAATCATACCAGTATTATTAGCTTTCACAGCCATTGTATTCAGTCTTCGTAAGTCTCCGAGTATATCAATTATAAGACCAGGACGTTTATAAGAGTGAAAATACATCATATCACCTAAAGATCCATCGGTTAATGCGGGACTAAAAATAGGTATATTATTCTTCCAAGCCCAGTAGCACACAGAATTCTCATCATTGATTTTCTCACCTAACCTAGCTATAATTCTCGATGGTGACCAAACAACATTTTCTCTTACTTGTTCTTCTAACATTTCATCAAGCAATGGTGTAACCCATTCTTCAAACAAACAATAATTATCATTCGGAACTAACAGATTGCCAATTCTATTGATTCCTCTGGACCTTAATATCTTCCCGCTCAAATTAAAATCACCGATATAAGTTGGTGCTAGGCATTTTATAAGATCTTCCTCTACCCCACCAGCAGTAGTTACAATACAATCAATGAGTTTGTTTTTTACCAGAAAACGTATAGTATCACGTAAACCCGAAGAAATCATATTAGAAGTGAAACCTAAGAAAATGGTACAATTAGTCTTCTTCTTAATAAATATATCTTCTTCGTAAGGATCGCAAGTTTCTTCAGTTAAAGGTACAGAACGACATTTGAGCATGTTATTGATTTCGGACACCGCTTTACCGAAACTGGTAGCCTGGAAACCAGTCCGTGAGTAACTTTCGAGTATTTTGTTATAATCTGTACCATTCTCCCAGTCGTAGCCTGCTACAGTAGGAGTTTCTGCGGGTAATTCTTGACTCGGACCCAGTACTGCAGAGATCGCAACATCTGGCGCGTTCGATTTAATCCTCTGAGATTTCGCCACGTCCATTTTGTTTCTTGTCGTTCAATGTAGCTTATAATTGATATTCTGTATGAATAATATAAATGGTGATATAAAACAAAGAGAAATACGAATAAATGGTGTTGATACGTATAAAATTGTTTTGGTTTTGATCTGTCACTGTCAGTTGTCAGGCTGTCATTGTCAAGTGTGTGTTCCTCTACAATTTTATGTAAAAAAATTTTAGTTCCAAACTATTACATTATTTATATGTTTTTTAAATACCTTGAATTTTAGTAGATGTCAATTAAGAAAAAACATTTAGTTTAACGAGGTACAAATCATAGTTTCTTTGACACTAGATGTCGCTAGGTGACAAGACATTTTAAAATTACCGGATGTTATTACAGTTTAACTTTTAATTACAACAATAGTAACATGATTGTATTTAGTTATTGATTTTTCCGCACAATTTTCACGTTCCCTGGTTTAGTTCTTTTATATCATTATACTATACACAGTGAGATTATTCTTCGACACTTTCGCAATTAATTATTATTGTTAACGGCACTTCAATAAAGGTATTTAAGTCTGAATGGTGTATTGTCGATAAATAAAACATATGACTTCCACTTTCCCTTCTTAAATGACACCTTATTCATGGCACTGGATTGTTAACTCGGATTTAACCATTGTTAACTTAAGTTTCGAATACTAAAAGTCCTGTACAAGTCATATCGCTGTCAAAAGCAATTAAAGAATATTTTCATCAGTAGTAAACTGGTGGTAGAATTTATCACAAAGTTTAAAAAAAGAGAAGCCTACGCGGTTTTTTTTTAAATAATATAGCTTATGACTACTAGTATAGCTATTTAGCTTATGACTAATAATATAGCTTAGAACTATTTATTCTTACCATTTATAAGATAATGTAAAGCATATCGTGAGAATAAAAAAAATACATATTTTAATGTTATTTAAATTAGGAGTTGAAAATGTCACGTAGGAGAGGAACAAATATTACAAGCCAGTAGCAACAAAGATGCAATATTTGTATGTTAACGGTAATTTTGACATTTGCAATTGTACGTTACGTTTTACAAAATGTAAACAGTAAAATAAAGTTTTTCTGATTTCGTGTAAATAGATGAAGCCTTACGGGAACAGCTAGTGTGTAAGTATCATCTCTCACTTCTATTGAATTCCACTATAATCTACATTAAAGATGATCTAATTACCCTGACATTTAAGGGAATAAAGTGCTGTCAAAACGTTTTCCCGCTTTCGACGCCATTATGCAACCGGTACGCGCCAAAATGAGTGCATGACGTAATAACATATGTAATTTTACTTTCGATAAATACCATCGGCGCCCAGACACGTTCCTATTACGTCCGGTGTATGAGTAATTGTGAGCAATTGGCATTCTTTGATTGCCTCGAGTATAAAAGTAATAAAAAAAATTAAACAAATACATCATACGTCAAATTTTGTAGGTTAAGTAAGGCGGCCATATTTCTTATGATTTTGAGAAACATTTTAAATTAACGTTACTTTAATTGCGTTCTACTATGTCTAGCAGTGTCTGTTTAAATTTTAAAATATCTGCATATTTTATAATTTATCTATCTCTGATAAAACCAGCATGATCATATTTGTTTAGGGTTAGTTGGTAAATTGACTGCTGATTCTCTACCCCGTTTACAGATAATTTATACACTAATGGTCCCAGAATAAAAATATCTCACAATTTTAAAAACATATGTAACTTTATGTTTACAGTACTACCGTGAGAAGATGTAATTGCAACCGCTATCAAGTTTCCGGTTTAACAAAGCAATGGACCCATTTCCGGCGCGGAAATTGTCAAACTTGTTTTGAAGCGAATGTAAGTGTGTTAAATAATTTTAAATCGAATTAGTTCCCGCGTTGATTAACGAACGGTGTAAAGTAAGTAAAGTAAGTAAGTAAGTTTGTCTGATTACTATAATTGTATAGAACATCGATCACTTAAACGCCAGTTATAAATGTCAAATTGTTTTAGACAACCTTGAGATTAAAAAACATTTTACACACTATAAGAAGTAGGTTCTAGTTGGAAGAGAAAACTAGTAAAAGTGAATGGAAAAATGATAGTTCAGGGAACTCGTAATCTGAAACTTTAAGACGAATGTCTCTATACTTAGGTCTTCATTGGTGCAACTTTACAAATGCACAGTTAATTCTTTAAATTATAACTTCTTTAAAAAACATGGAATCAATATTAAACTGTAATGAATTATATTGTTTTCATCAATTATCTATTAATTTAAGCAAACCTCAAAAACAACTTGCGTTTGCCTTAAAAAAGTATCTATAACAAAAACAAATGACACGTTACATTTGTTGCCGCCAAAAAATGCGCAGATTAAATATTACATAATTCATTACGCAAGTTTTATCGGTAAATTGTAATTATTACATTGTCTATTAATAAAAATTTACTATCACCACACCTGTTTGTGGAAAGGGAAGTTGTAGTCGAAGTATTCGCGCGTCAGTTATCCGTATACGCGCGAATACACCTAACGTACTGGCAATTTAAAAAAGAAAAACAGATGATGGGTGTTTTTAATCTGTGACAGAATAACACAGATTTAAAATAATTAAAACTCAACTGTGTTTCTTGTGGTGAAGATAACGATTTCTTTTTAAAGTGAGTTGCATTATTTATTTATATTTTAATTATGCTTAGATGGAATTATTTTTTTATTTATTTATATTCTATAGCAATAAATAAGAAGTATATTTAAAATTATAATTAAATTGCAATGATAGTTTGATGTAAATTCAAATTTAAATCCAAACGGCAGATAACCGTTTGTTTTAAATAATATTACAATTTGACGGTTTCCATGTTAAGATAGATATGTTAATAAGAAAAATTAATTAGCTATTACTAAAACAATTTTGAGGAGAATTAAATATTTTAATATGAGCAGCAAAATGTTTATCTTGGCTGCAATTTCGTTTCCCTATTCTCCCTATACTATTTTCAAATCACGGTGGTTTTCTTTCAGAAAATCTATGATGTAACCTAAGAAACCTACCACAAAAAAGGGGTTACTTATTGTAAATGTAATATAACAGATACATTAGGAACTTAAGTAACTTTGTGGCACAGACCGCAAAATCGGGAAGTGAGTAAATTCCATGTACAATATGTGTCGGTAATAGTGGCCATCACGATGCAATTTGCACAGTTTAACGTGATCATCGCGTGACAACTTCAAGTTATTACGTCACAGTAGCACATACCGTATGTGGTACACCCTATACAATCACTCTGTTGTCATCACGATATATGATAGATGTTCTAGTGAAAAGGAAATACGATCTTACCCAATAACCCATTTCGAATCAAGGCAGTCTTTAGGACTACTAGAGATATTTACGGCGCCCTCTAACTGCAATACAAACTCATACGAAAAGGGGCGCCACTACTGTTTAAGAGCCTGTGGTGCCCCTCTGTGTCTGGCGCCCTGGGCGGTCGCCCTAATTAGCCCTTCAACGCCTCGAATCACTTTTGCTTGTCTATACATCTTATTCATTTGTTTCGAATTAACCGAATTTTGTACTCTCTCATGGTTAGTTGTTTTATTTTAATACTAGCTGTTCCCGTTCGACTTCATCCGCATGAAGTTGTGAAAATTTTATTTTATTATTTAAATTTGTCAAATTATCAATTGCAAATGTCAAAATGACATGACATGGCAAACCTTGGCAATCCTGTTTTCTTGATGTTGGCAGCAACTTATGTTCTCTATCCCACCTTAGGGTTTTTAGTCAAAACATTTACCTCCTAAGTTTAATGGTGTGAAAATATATAGCCTAAAGCGTGACATAAGTGTAGGGCTTTTCATTAAAGAAAGAATTATTCAATAATGTGGTGTAATTGCTGACATCTTAGGCAACAAAGAAGTGTGTGTTTACGCTTTATTATAATAGTATAGAAGTATAGATTATATTTAATAAAAAACATTAGGATCAATTGATTGGATTAGGATGTCAAAGATGATTCCATTTAAATCTTCTTTCCTATGCGCTCTACAAAACACTGAGCAGTCTTTCATATATTTTAATAGGATGTATTCACAAATTACAGCACAATAAAACTATAACACATTATGTATACACAATAACAATAAAATACCCATTTAATTATCTCATTACACAGTATACTTACTTCCTCAACCTCATTGTTACAATGCGTATAGAATGTAACCTTACATAATCTGTGATAATCTCAGATTCCCGCCAATATTGATATATGTCAGTTAAAGAAATTAATTCACTTACCACTTAGTATCGAATATCGTACATGCATTAAGAGCTATACCAGTGGTTTAAGCACCTTACTTGTAATGTACAGGTCTTGGGTTCGAATCCAGCCATTATACGATTTTCATATGTATATAATTTACCCGACGTTCTTACGGTGAAGGAAAACATCGTGATGCAACCTGCACATATCGGCGAAGAAATTCAAAGATATGTGTGAAGTCAACCAACCCGCAGTGAACCAGCATTGACTATGCCCTAGTCACTTACTTAGGGTAGCTTAGCGTATATTATGCTGGTGTTGATGATAAGACCTATACACGTATGTATTACTATGACAAATTTTACATCAAAATGGGTAGCAAATAAATTTCCTCGACTGCATATATCGTGGCTTTTTAAGGAAGTACACCATCGTTTCCGCTATCTTTGTATCCGATTGTGTAACGACATATGTAGAATCTGGATCAGAAAAGACCTTAAGCCTAAAGAGGTTACGGTCTATAAGGTCGTTTGACTTCATTCAATCTGTTCCCGTTACACACTTTCAGTTTTAACTGCACAGTTACTGAAGATTTGGTTTACGTTTCTTAACTGTCGCACTTAAAGTTCACTAAGTTAACACTGAATTATTATTAAAGCTTGTAAATTTATCTAATCGTGATTCTGTTTCACGAGACTTTAGTTATAGGACTGAAGTTACACATACTAAAATATCACGAATCAAATCTTTGTAGAAATCCTGTACTAAGCTTCCATAGATGCGCAATTTTGGAGAACCGCGCCTTAATGGTTTTTTCTTTAACACACTGAATAGAAATTCACATTATGTTATAGGTTAAGTTCCTTTATTTATACTTATTTTATACGCAACTTTAGTTGCATATATTTCAATTAAAAAAAATGACAAGAATTTTTCCATTTTAGATCTCAAATTACTTTACGCACGGACATTGCCTAGATTTCCTAACATCCTAACAAAAAAGGTGCAATTAAGTTGTTAACACACGACGTACTTGCGATATTTTTCGCAAGTGAAAACGTATGACATTTTTATGAGACAAACAATATGCAATATTAAAAAAAATGTTACCGACCGATCGTGAGTTTCGCACGTTGATTTGCCTAAGCAAAAACAAATTGACATTTTATATTATAATTTTTTTATAAATTGTCTAGGTAGGAACAGTGGTAGTGCCCGCTTTCTTAGCATGAATGGGCCGGCACGCGCGGTGTAATACCACGACCCCACAGAAGACAGGCGTGAAATGGAAGCAATTCCGTGTTTCGCCGGATGAGTGTGGTGCCGGAGGCCTAATTTTAGTCCCTTTCTCTTTACCACCCTTTTCTTATAAGGAGAGAATGGGAAGAGGAAGTGGATTTGACGGTGGAAGAGATGCATAGGAAGGGGAAATATCCTCTTTAAGTGCGTCTCCTCCTCCATCGGATAAGGGTAAGCAACGCATCTTAGGTCAGCGGTCGCTTCGCCATTTTGGTGGTATCAGGAGGTCGCGTGCTCGTTTGCCACCTTATGTTATAAAAAAGCAAATTTCAAACGGGCGGCATTCACATTCAGTTAGTAACAGACATTTTCACGAGGCAAGAGTCAATCAACCTTAACAAAGTTGACATATTGTTTTGTTTTATTAATGATTTATATTGACAGACAATCCATAATACGTTAGTTAATACATTGTTGAAAGCGAAACTTATCGCGTTAATATTTCATGTGAATATGTCGTTAAACGCCGGTAATGGATATCAAAGTGTGATAAAAAGGCGATCTACCTGACAGTTTAATGATTGATTGAAATTTTAGGTCGAACGTCGATAAATCTTTGCTTTAACAAAGACTTTCCTATTATACTTCATACTAATATTATAAATGCGAAAGTTTGGATGTTTGTTACACTTTGTAGTTTAAACTGCTGAACGGATCTCGATGAAATTTGTCTTATATGTAGAGAATAGTCTAGAACAGGCAACATACTTTTGATTTTTTTTAATTCCACGCGGACGGAGTCGCGGGCGCAAGCTAGTAACAATATAATTTAGTACTTTTGAAACATGAGTAAGTACATAAGTCTAGTTTTCGTTTATCTATACTAATGTAAGAAGTCGTAAACACAAACTTTGTTACGTAGGATCTCAGCCATCACGCCGTATCGTAAAAAAATATTTTTTATTAAAAAGCCTTACACTATGACACGCTATAGACTATATATTTTCTTCCTATTTAATTTAGGGATGAATAAATCGGAAAAAGCTCCTGCGAGAAACGGACGAAATCTAGACGAACGCAAGAATCCCTTAGTTTTTATATTAAGTCGCACGTGATTTTCATAAAAACTAAGTAAAGATTAAATCATAAAATTAATTATCTATATGCGCATTACAAAATAATAAGTAATTGAAGTAATAAAAGATTACAGTTAACAAGATATTTAGTCATGGTTTATGATTTATGTCGTAGGAGTCCAACATATCCGCTCTAATTGGCTAATTACTGTTATTGCCTCTATGGTCTTGTGGTGCAATAACACCGTCGAATAAATGACGTCACAGCTTAGTAATTGCTATGACGTAATGATGGTTCGGGGTTTATTTGACTTGTAATCTACAGGTGCTATATATACATAATTTACCCGACGTTCTTACGGTGAAGGAAAACATCGTGATGCCTGCACATATCGGTGTAGAAATTCAAAGATACGTGTTTTTTTTTATAACATAAGGTGGCAAACGAGCAAGCGGCCACCTGAATCCACCGAAATGGAAAGCGACCGTTGCCCATAGACATTCGTAAACGCAGATGCGTTGTCTATTCTTAGTTGACGGAGGAGGAGACACACATAAAGAGGACATTTCCCCTTTCTATACCTCTCCTCCACCGTCAAATCTACTTTTCCTTCCCATCCTTTCCTATTAAGAAAAGGGTGGAAAGGGAAAGGGACTAAAATTAGGTTTTATAACCACGATCGTGGATATAAGGCCTAGTCATCTCTAACTTAGTGTAGACTCTGAACCTTCTGGGGACATTAAGTGAGCTGGTGGTGTTGACCACTAATATCATAAGAGATATATTAAAGAAATTTTATACATTTATAACCTTGCCTTAATTAAAAAACTTAACTTAGCTAAACTTATCAAGCTTGACCATATCTCATAGATGAATATACTCGAAAAAAAAAACTAAAAAAGGATAACAGATATAAGTAAAAATTAAATCATCATCAACATAATAAACTTTCCCTTATCCCTTACGGAGGGTCGGCACAGTATGTGCTGCTCTTTCATACATTTCTGTCAGCCGTCATATCTGAATCCACTCCACTCTTAAAATATATAAGTGAAAAACGCGAATGTAATTCTAAAATCGGTTTTCTTACTTTTTTTTAATATAATTCCCATGTCCATTGTAGATGTATACAGCTATAGACAGAAAATTTGATGGATTTATAAATTATATTTTCAGTTGTCCGGCGTCAAATTCGAAACCAACCTTGGACTTCTTTGAAAATAATTCAAGTTTAAGCCATGGTAAGTTAGTTACGATAATTATTGACCCTTAGAGCGAGCACACCTTTGTCCAAACTATCGCATAACTGTTTAGTCGCGCTTTGATTCCTATAAACTCATATGGAGAGACTACTCGAATTTTTATTGTGCAACTAAACAGTTGAAGGCTGCGAAACAACCGACAATCGCACAACCGTTATGCGATAGTTTCTAAGATGCGCACGCTCTAAGTAAGAATATGACAATTCTTTACAAACATCACATCAAAGTAATAAAAAAATCATATGACAAATTTTGTAACATATTTACACGACGATATCGTTAAGTAATTTTCAAGTGCAGAATCAAAGTAAACTTAGTTATTAATTAATTACTTAGAAATCGAGAAAGTGAATTCCCTTAGATTAGATTTAATAGTGGGTAGAGGGAAAGCGGGTCATTTAAATAGTCCGATGTTTCGCCTGAAAGTAGCTACAGATCCTTAAAATTTATATTTTACTAGCTTTCGCTCGCGACTCCGTTCGCGTGAAATTAAAGCCTGTACGTGTTCTTTCAGACTATCCTCTACATCTACATATGCCAAATTTTATTGAAATCCGTTCAGCCGATTAGGCTACAAACTCTAACATCCATCCATCCATAAATCTAAACTTTTACATTTATAATATTAGTATGATTTATTGAACATCTAAAAAAAGTAATTTATAATTACCCTTTTAATCAACATTGTGACTATATTTAATTATCTATACTAATATCATAAAAAGGAAAGATTTGTATTTTTGTATTTATTGAAATAACTCAAAAACTACTACGATTTTAAAAATTCTTTCACCATTAAAAAGCTACGTTATCACAGAGTAACATACACTATATTTCTTAATTACATGCGACCAAAATCGGGAGCGACAGCTAGTATTTTTTTAAACAAATTCTCTGATATTTAAGAGAACTTAAAAGTTCACGACTACCCACTAGAGGTAGAGGTAGACGTAGAAAGAGATGGATGGATTGTGTAAAAGGTGACATGATCAAAAAGGGAGTGATGACTGAGATGACGTATGATAGAGTTATGTGGAGGACAAAAACCTGTTGCGCCGACACTGCGGGAGTAGGAAATTTAAATGTTTAAAAGTTTAAATGTTTTAATATTTTTCAATGTTACTTGTTTTCAGTGGTTTCGAGTTGTGATCGTCGTAAGCGTTACTACACAAACCTGGTCGCAATATACGTACGCGGTAAGTTTTATCTTACTAATATTATAAATACGAATGTTTTGGATGGATGTTTGCGGATCTTGATGACTGCTATAGAAGCAGAACTTAGTCTGAAAACATAGGCTACTTACTAAGTTTTTTAATTCCGCGCAGACAGAATTGCTGGTGAGCTAGTCTATACATATAATAAAATCCGAGTGTCTGTTTGTAATATCGATAGAAAAATTACAGATTTCGGGAAGATTATGTATTTGCATTGCTGAAAACGAAAATCACTTTTAATTTTTTTTTATCTGTCTGTCTGTCTGTCCGCAAGCCGCGTTTGTTCCGTGCAATCTTCCGAAATGCCTGGGCCGATTTTGGCTAGACATTCATTAAAGAGTAGCTGACATAGAGGGGCATATTATAGGCTTTTTATTTTAATATCGCGTACACGAAGTCGCGGGCAACAGCTAGTAAATAAACTATGTACAACTTAGTTGAATTTAATGTTCTTATGGACCTTTCAAAGCGATAGACGTGTAACAAGTTCGAATCCAATAACAGTAAATACGGAAACTAATGAACTAAAGTGAAAGTTGTAGGTCTAGGTTGGTTACGAGTCTAGATCTATAGAGGTCTACAAATGAAATCAAACATTTAGAGCGGGCTTTTGACTAAACTATCGCACTATCGACTGTCGGTTGTTTCGCAGCCGATTCAACTGTTTAGTTGCACAACTAAAAATCGAATAATACACATGTGTATAAGCTGATAGAAAACCAAAGCGCGACTAAACAGTTGTGCGATAGTTTAGTTAGAGGTGTGCGCGTGGTTTTAGTTTTTTACATAATTTAAGATGGCAAACGAGCAGGCGACCACCCGAATCCACTGAAATGGAAAGCGACCGCTGCCCATAAACATCCGCAATAGCAGATGCGTTGCCTTCCCTTAATTGACGGAGGAGACGCACATAAAGAGGACATTTCCCCTTCCTATGCGTCCCCTCCACCGTCAAATCCACTTTTCCTTTCTATCCTTTTCTCTTAAGAAAAGGGTGGAAAGGTAAAGGGACTAAAATTAGGCCTCCGGCACCACACTAATCAGACTACGCGGAATTGCTTCCACTTCACGCCTGTTTTGTGTGTCGTCGTGGTATTGTCGGACGATCCGGCCCTACAGTGCGAAGATGTTAAAGCGGGCTCTACCACTGACAAAAGTGTTTTTTATGTTAGTATGTTATAAACTGTTCGTTTTTATGCGGTTGTAAATAAAATGTTATATGTATTTCCGCATCGATTCAAACTAAAATATAAATCGAAAAGGTCTTACACAATCCTATACAAATAATAAAAAAAAACAATAATTAATCAAATTGACGCAGTTAATATTTTTAAATTGAGAACACGACATGCGCCAACGGTTACGGTTATTAAATTGACGTCACAATTTAAAAGCGGAAGCGGATTTTTTTATCATTTAAAAAAACGTTAGTGGCCAGTAATAAATAATTTACAATATTATTCAATAGCAAACATTAGGTGTGTTTTGTGTAATAAAGCTTTCTACTTAACATAAAATTGTTTAAAAGTTTCAAAGGTTTTGATATTGTTTCTGTAGTTAATAGTTGAAATTGAAATCAATAGAAAAACAACAAATAATTATGGCTATAATTATCTGTGTATTTGATATTAAAATTGGAAATTTATGTATAGATTACAGTCACTCAAAACGCTTATAACTTGGACCCGATATTATACTGATTCTATTAGCAAGAGGAAAAGAAGTACACTTTCACTGTGCGATATGACAATAGACCCTCGATTTTATTTCAGTATTGTTCTATTTTAATTATTACTCTGCCAGCTTCAAACGTTTTGATGGATATTACATAATAGCGTATTGTAAAATAATAGACCGGCTCTAGAAATTAAAATATGACCGGTAAAGGTGCTTGAAATGGGGCGGTGTAACGCAACGTGGTGTAACAATCGCATCATTGCTTGTTTACATACAACGCGTTACAACCTTAACGTGATATTTTTCGTGACTAACAGAGCTTCCACTGCTATTCTTAAATAAGTTGTCAGCGAGCGGTCACCTGCATTCGCTTTTTTTAATATTACAAGGTGGCAAACGAGCGTGGCCACTTGATTCCGCCAAAATAGCGAAGCGACCGTTGCCCATAGACAACTACAATTACAGATGCGTTGCCTACACTTAATTGACAGAGGATACATAAAGAAGATATGTCCCCTACATATCCTCTTTATGTGTCCAATGCGTCTTCACCACCTTGATTTGAATCTTTATAAAAAAAAGTCGGGAAGAGAAAGGGATCAAAACTAAGCCTATAGTACAGTTTGTGTTCCTTCAAAATTTTTATAATTAAATCGATTGTATCGTTTCTGGTAAATCGATATCATTCGAATCGATTCTAAACATACATATATGTGGTGTTGCATAACTTTTAAATTACTTTTAATTCCTCTTTTCCACTTAGCGATGGTATTTTTAATTTGTTACATAATGTCATTGAAAGGTTTAAAATGTTACACCATGTATCAGTAAGGTTAAGTCCATCCATCTTGTTGATAGACGTTGAAATTATGTTACATAATCTCTACTGCAATAATACTTGTTAAAGTGTCAGTTTTAAATATTTGAAGAGTATGAAATTACTCAAATCGATTGAAAAATATGTTAACTGCTTAAATGTATTAAGAATATGATTTTGTATTCAAACATTGATACCCTCCGCAAGGTTTTAAATTATGCGATTTTTTTATACGTTTTAGTAAAAGATATGTCTGGACTGATTTCCATTCAAGGTTTTTTTTGTATTTACCAGCTGTTGCTCCCGACTTGTTCCGCGTGAAATTTAAAAATGATTCACTAATAACGTAGCATTCATAATAGTAAAAGAATTTTTGAAATCGTCCCAGTAGTTTTTGAGTTATTACAATACATGCAAATGTACAAATCTTTCCTCTTTATAATATTGGTATATAGGTTATTTACACTTTAAACAATTATTGTTCTGATCAATATATATAAGATAGATTTATTATCTGTGTTTTTTAAGTGAGATATGACATTTATCCCTGTTCTCGTATACGGTAGTGTCAACCCACAGTTATACAGGAAGTAGAGTCTTACCTTTCACCACCGGAAACAAAGCTTTGACAACGAAAGTGTATTGCACAAACTTGTCTGTACTTAGATTTATTGAGCCTTTGTTAATATGTTATGGCCCTTTCTAATTTATTAAACAACAAAACAACTTAATTTAACCTGAGTTTTACTTAATATTACTTTAGTTATAAACAGTATAGAAATAGAAATAGAAATAATTTATTGAAAAATAACAGATTAACAATTAACAATAAAAGTTATAACCAATTAAAAGATAAATACAAATAGTGGATAAAATGCAATTGATCTAGTGATGCCCACACTAGGCAATGCCGGTATCGTGGGCATCGAAAACAGCAGGAAAAATATTTTTATACAATAATTATTAAAAACCTACGCTTACGGCGTAACGTAAGTATAGAGTAACAGAATAGTATAAAGAACACACTATTTACTCTCCATTTTACATCTTGAGAACGGGAAAAGTAGAGAGTGGATCCAGCTCGACACTGGATTCTGCAAAGTGTAGGATAATTCTTTACTCCTGACTCCTGATAGAGGTAATCTAGAAATATTTTTTTGATGACGTTACCAAATCCTCGCAAATTTTCGTGCTACCCCATCGGGGGTCCATCCCACACCATCCGAAAACATTTAAAAACATCGGTTTGTTGGAA